AGACAAAGACCAAAAAATATCCAATGTGTATTCCTTCCTCCGTCCGCAGTAAACTTCGTGACTTTCTTCCTTTCTTCCTTCCACTCCACCTCAATCAGCTCAGAGTCAGCACCTCCAAGATAAAACCCTATACCTTCCAACTTCCAAGTACCACACCCAAACTTCCCAACCCAATCTATCTAACCTTCTCAGAAACAATCTGCACCCCACGGTGACGCGGATTTCCCTCTCTCCTCCGTCCTAATGATGATCCATGATCCATCAATCCCATCCTATCGATAGACCATCCCACCAAACATATCCAACCAAATCCCCCCAAACCTATCCATCCATCCATCCATCCATCCCAATCCAAACTTATCAGCGAAAAAAAGCTTCAGCCTTCCAATCCAAACCAACCAGGAACCGATACCCAATTCTCACCCAAGTAATCAGCCACCAAACCCGCACCAAACCCAACTCATCCAATTTTAAAATTACATCGAGTACAACACATCGTGACGTGACGTTTCATAATTCAGACTCACCAACTTCTATTCATGACTATTCTTGAAAGGGTTTGGGTTGATTTTTGGTTCAATTCCCTTTCTACCTATCTTCTCCTCACATGCAAATCGATAATCTGGAAGTCTACTTCGTACTCTAGAGTCTACACTACTGGACGTATCCAATGATCCATCTTTCATTTCCCCCCTGCTTCCATACTCCGTAGGTAAACGATACGACCCCTCTCAATGCCTACCGGTACCTCTGCTTCATCCACCTCGTACCTAAGTACCTATATCATCCTATATTATCCTATATTATATTCATATTATATTCATATTATATTCCTATCAAAATATATCAATGCATCACCAACCCATAACCACCATAGCCCAGCACATCAAACACCAAATCCCAACATCGAATTCGCTTATCCGGTCAGCCCGGACCTTCCATCCCTGTCCCTATCCATCAATATCAAATCCCATCACCCTCAATCGCCATCATCATTCCCATCACCCTCTCCTTTCCCATTCCCATTCCCATTACCCATAAAACAAAAATAAAATAACGCCGATATAATCATTATGCCTTATACCTTCTTACCTTATAGATCTCATCCACGATCCAACTACCCACCTACGACTTAAGCACTTATCTCCGATCTATATTACATCCATCGTCCTGATCCCTAACCTACCATCCACAATCCACAATCCCCATCTATCAAAGAAGAAAAAAGGAGAAGAAGAAAATTTTCCTTCTAGAAGTAAGCGGGACTGACGAATGCCAGATGGACAGACAACCCAGGACCCAGGATTCATGGTAGATGGTATATTACATATTATAGATTATGGATGGAGCTATTTGCAAGACACACCATGTATACTTATACTGACTGTACAGTGACGAGGTAGGAAGCGAGTGAGTAGCATATCAGGATATGAGGATATAACCCCTTCGGATGGTCTTCTCCGACGACGAAGCCCTGCCTGACCAAGGTACCTACTCAAATATCTGAGATACTCCGTATATTCATGCAATAATATCGATTCATAGAAAATCCTCGATTCGATCACTAGGAGACACTTCCGGCTCCCCGACTCCCCGACTCCCTCGTCTAAGAGATTTTAAAGATTTTAAAGATTTAAGCCAGTCTAGAGATCGCCCTTTCAAAGAGCTTCAAAAACATCTCTGAATAGCTTCAAAATTCCTATTCAAACGATAGAAACATTCTTTACATTCAGTTTCTTAAAAGCTGCGCAGTACAAGCGTAGACGTACGTCCTGAGTAGTAGTTACGAAGAGGAGAGAAAAAGCTCGTATTTGCATATGTACTGGTATATATCTTTCAAGGAAATCACATGGCGCGAATAGAATAATTGATTATAAAGGTCATGCACTTCATACACATCATATAGCGTTTCAGACATATCGCACAAGTCTATGTATGACAGTTCTCGGTGGTATAAAAAAACTACAGCTTCATACAAGGTCAGTTGTCCAACCGCCTTGAATGTCATTCGACTCTCCTCATCTAGAGGTATTTCAAAAACTCAAAACTCAAAAGTCCCATCTAAATCAGATCCCGTTTTCCTTTACGCCCGCTATGCTACCTTATCCTGGTTTGAAGATTCCTCAAATGCCGCTCAACATGAACACTGTACTCAACACCGCTGCTCCCAATACCAATGTGTGTGGTATCGAATTTATACCCCCAATCGACCGATCATGCACAGCACCGGGATAGTTGCACGTAACTTGCCCGCTCTGATTTGCCGTTCTATGTATACCATAACTTGTATCAAAGCCCGTATCGCCCGGGAGAGGGCATGCAAAACCCATTACTGCCGGACAGGCACGGACAATTCCATAGCATAAATCGTCACAGGGCAAGATTTCCTTGTAAGGCCCTGGTTGGACTGTTGTAGTGATGTCTGGATTTCGAGAACCATTCACAGGCTGTGAAGAGCTAGCTATTTTAAGTAGCTCAGGGCTAAGCATTGTCCCGTTTGGAAATGGCTGTCCCATACCTCGTTCTTGTAACCACGGAAGATCGTTTGAAAAATCAGTACATCTTGGTATCGTCACCGAACAAAGCCATGTTTTGTACGCTGCATCACAAGACGTACAGTTTTGAGCAAGCGAATACTGAGCAGAAGAAGTAGTATTGCAAGGAATTTGTGCTAAAGCCTTCTTGAAGTACTTATAAGATTGGTAGGTTGAGTTATCGTACCATTCTCCAAGAGCGGTAGTGTTTGGAAATGTATTAGGGTTTGCTGGGACGGTCCAGGCCACTTGGTCGCAGAACGTGAGATTGTACACGAGGGCACAGTTATCGGCTACGTGGGGAGTTAGTTCAATTGTGAATCTGCATCTATCAAAACCACATACCTGAAATCGTGGAAAAGGTCATGGCTTTCCATACCTGTCCACCCCCGCCTACTCCCTCGCGCCCAAGAGCAGTTGCATTGCCATTCATTGCAAGAATACCATAGTAAGACGTACCCGCAGTCAACCCATCAAAGTAGAATTGCTGCTTGGGAGCATCATTTTCCCCTCTAGTAGTCATCGACATTTTTATTTTGTCAGTTTTCTGACCACCATTAATAGTTCCTGCTATTTCGGCCTGCTTCTCCAATCCACAATACGAATATCGCAAACCTGATGTGGAAGAGTTGATCATTTTACTAGCGAACATAGTGAAAGGTGGTGCCAGATTAACCCATTCATCATAGATTGAGCCATTATCTGTGGTGAGATCGTTGGTAACCAGAAGGGCTGACGCGCTATCACTATCTACAAGGACGAGATTCTCTTCATCGCTATGGTAATAATGGTAGGGCGCATCGATGGAAGCTGCAATTTCCGCGTTCCATATGCCTGTGTAGTTTGAGGTCAAATTCCAGCCGGTCAAACCAATGAAGACATCTCCAGTAGCATTCAAAGTGACCACTGCAGCGCCGCCTTCCAATTGGTAAGTTTGTTGTAGACTATCATCCTGTCCGGGTCCAGGATTCTTATTCTTTTCAGACTGCGATATGTAGAGTTCCAACTGTGAGGGCGCCGGCAGATTTGCGCCTATGGCTTCGGGCTGTTTGCAAGTATTGACCGTAATATATAGCGTCCTAGTACTTGAGGAGCTCGACTGTCGAGTCTGTAGAGAGGAATTTTGTCTCCTATCTTCGGACAGAATCTGCTCCCCATCTTCAACCTCAAATAATGCAGTATCCAAAGCCTGGAAGCTCTCCTCCTCTTTATTGCCAACGCTCTCGATGACTCTTTTACGCAACTTAACAGGGGAGGGTAAACCGCTTGCTTGCGGAGAAAGGGGTCCCCATAATGAGGAATTTAGGAACGAATACGCGATCGTTTGTCCCTGCTCAACATTTGTCGTTACAGCGCGATTGTTGAGTAATGGAGTGGGATCAGTCGCCGATGCAACCCTCCCAGTTATGCTCCGATGGAACCCTACAAATTCGGCTTCATATCCTTCGTCCCTCGATTCTATATCCTCATCTTCACCATCCAGCGCCAATGTATTTATATCCATTAACCTTTCGTGATTGTGGTCTTCTGGTTGTATCGAATCAACATCGGTGGCGTATGCAAAGTGAGAAGATGAAAAGGTCAGATATAATATCAGTAGCATTATCGATCCCATGAGGGATGCGGCCAGCCGCGATTGCAGCGGACTGAGCTTTGGCAGAGGCATTGCGATGACGGTATTTGTAAAATGCCCATCGGAAAGTCGTGAATCTTGTCGTTCGAAAGTTTAAGCATCAGTTTCTATTCGAGAAGATTCGAGATCTGGCATCTGGTATTCATAACTGCAATCAATTGAGTGTTTAAAGAAAGTGGTTTGTTCGACGAAAGATTGTTCGAGATAATTTTGGTGTTTGAGTGAAGTCTCAAGCTCTCGGTCCACCACCTGTACCCTGATGTCTTGGCCAATGATAGAGTTTTGTTTTGAGTTGATCATTTCCGACTACCCCTCTACTATATTTTATGGTTTACAAATTATAGTACGAGTTTGGCAGTAATGGCAATCACGATGTTATACAAGATAAAATACTCAATGGCCAAGATACAGATTTACCTCTGAGCATTCCGAGGTAATTGTGAAGGAAGCACGAATCCTATCAATCTCATCTCCTCATTGTCATATCATATGTACCAACTGAATAAACTAGTCAACGATAATGTCCTCTACCATATACCCCATCAATCTGAACCCAAAATGAATTACGAGAATCTTGGTACGGTTCAGATCATATCAACAGAGCACCTGAAATATCCCATATATGATAAGAAATTCGTTGCAATGTTCCCAGCGTCATGGTTGGCATTCACGACTCCACCTTCAACGTCCACGGCTCAAGACACCGCCCCCCCTTATAGCCTGACGCCTACAATCTTCATTTGTGGCTCTACGTATGTTCCCACTATTCTGCCCATATATTGCTTAGGTGAATGAATTCGGCAGCACGATAGTGGTACACGCTTGTTAGTCCATTACAAGGACTTGTCTGCGCTGGCGCTGACCTTGGAAGCTCCAGAAAAGTATCTGGAGAAGACTGGTGAAATGAAGGAGCGGAATACGATTTGGGCACCGCTATTACAGACTATTAGTGATGTTCCAAGGAGACATGATTGGGTCTATGTAGCTCTTACCTGGTGATTGGGAGTGCGAGCCACAAAACAAGAATGAACTTGAAGGTGTAGTAGAAAGGGAACCAGTAGACAACGGTGAACACGCTCTCAAACACAGTCAAGAAGGCAAAGACAACCCAGTACTGAATATACATATTAGCAATGGCAACTGAAAATCAATTTCGAATTATTTACCGTGAGCCATTGAGTGTCGTCCGCTTTTCCAGTGCTAAACAAAGCATCCAAAGAGTAGTACCCTGGGAGGACAAATCCGGCAAGGTTGGTAAGAAGCTGACCTCCGATGTTGAAGAAGATGAAAAAGAAGTAGAATGCAATAACACCCAAGAAAGCGTAGACCTTGGGAACGTTGCTTTGCTTCTCGAGGTTGTTCAAGGTTGGGTACTTGGAGAGCTGAGGCCACAGTTAGTCAAAAAGTTCATACATCAACGCACTTCCAGCACATCAGTCGTAGCCAGAACCGACTCGTTGTTGATTTCCAAGTCCGGAGTATGCGGGAACTTACTTCCTTATCAATTTGGGAGATGGTTCCCTGGACTTTGTCTTGGAACGACATTTTGGACAGATGTGTACTACGAAGGGTTTCTGAGGATTGTTGAGATGTATGCAGCTTTTGTGAGTGCAAATTTCGAGGAGCTTATTGTTATTTGTGTTGTGGGACAACTTTTGAGGAAAGAGAATGGTTGGGCAAAAAGTGTTCCTTTGTTCTGACGCTACTTCGCTTCTATGCTACCTGTGGACTATGAAATGACGAACTGGCCGGAAAAGCTTGGGTAATTTTGGCAACCGATCAAGAGCGGGGGTCAACATCATCTCTTTTCCAACGAAACACAAAGAGCAAATTGAAATTGATTCAAATCCATGGAATTTATGAATGCATTCAAACCATCACATTTTACTCGTTACAGAAGGGGTTTATATGTATTTCAAAGGATTTGTTACTCGAGTTCATCTGTTACCGTACGAACTTCGAAGGTCTTGAAAGTTCTTATCTTCTTCGTCTTTCGAGCACGGAAGTTGGTAGAATGCTTCGGAGGAATGTGGAATAGACTTGCCCCACGATTAGGGTTTTATATTTGGTCTCCTTTCATTGGTAGACACTGGTCGGGAAGATTTGGATGTGCCAACTGTACAATCAATACTTCACCCTTTCTTCTTAGAGAAGAAACGTCGTATCCAAATGGGTGCATGAGATGGTAAGCTCGGTGTCCGTGATGGATGAACATTCAGTAATTCTATAAGTGGCTAGTCTGCAAGTTGTCAGTGTTCATCATGGTCAAACATATCGGACCTGGTCCAAAACATACAGGTCTAAACCATGAACAGATGCTGTGTAGATATGTATATATACTTCATAATTACTCATTTCTCCAGCTATGTTCTTTGACCATGTAAGCTACGAATGAATATCGACTTATATCATAGGTAGATAATGACCAGTAGATGGCTAGCCGTGGGTAACAAGACAAGACAAGCCAGCATTCTTCATCCGCAAGATGCCAACGGTCCGGACTATCAGACTGGATACAACATTTCAGCCATTTGAACGTTCCTGCTAGATCGGAATCCGAATCTTCAAGCTTCTTCTTATTAGACTGCAGTCCAGACTGATGGATTGCTCTTATTCTAGATACCTGTCGATCAAAAACAAGACCTACACCATCTTCTTCAAATGAGTAGAATCGATTGGGATGTATATCATTAAGAAATGGGACAAGACATAGATTATCACACAGAGATTAGAACATGAGAATAGAATATCTCTATTTGAGCTTTGGAAATAGATGTAAGCATGAGGCAATGGGGAGGCTGCTAAAAAGTACAAGTGGTTAAGAGACATCTATTTGAACATTCAGATGCGACCATACACATCTATCTTGAATGCTCTATCTACCTATGTTCTTCAACCCGCAATAAAGAACCTGCAACGCATATGATATCCAATATTCGATTAGTGGGTGAGATTGTCCTCATATCTCAATCTACTTTCTGCTCTGCTTCACGGGTTTTCACATTGAAGCACCCGCGAACGATTCTTCGTCTCGGAAATACGTACTTCAGCCAGATAACAGCTGATGAAAATCTGGCATACATTTCTGTAATGATTTTTGACAAGTCTTAAGTAACAAAAGATGCATAGGTACCTATTGTTACTTTCATTCAAGACATCTTTCATTACTGTGCATGAGTTAGCAAAGAAAAGTCGAGTCTTCGAGTTCACCGCCAACAGAAGGGAAATTAAGATTGGAAAAAATGCGAACAAATTACAGTAGGTATATAAATAATGCAAAATGATTTACTCTGTATTAATTCATGCTGTCAGAAAACGTGTCCGTACCGCTACCATACCATACCTACTCTTGTCCATCCGAAGTAAGAAATGAAAGTTTCACCAATTCTTACCTCTCTCGGCCTCTCAACCTCAGAAATGATGTTTGTTTTGTTGTGAATCCTCCAATCATCAATAATCATCGTACTAATCCTAATCGGGCCTGGGTTCTGCTTCCCCGTTAACCGGAATACCTCAAGACCTCGTAAACAATTGGAATCAACCTTTCAACAACCGTATCACGACAAAGGACGACAACGGCAACGACTTGCTCTCCTTTCAATCGGTAAGTATCCATATCGCAGGATCGGATTGGCATCAGAGCATTAGAAGGTCCATAAAAGATCAGAATCAAGTCAAGAAAGGGTACACATCGCAGAATAAACAAAGCCCCAGCCACTTTTTCCGACCATTTTCTCCGACTCCACGAACAACAACCTCGCATGAAAATTATGGGTAAGTGATGATACTCTTCTCTACACATGACGCGCTACAATGCGCGAAATCTTCCAATGTGTGTCTATATTCTAACTTCTTTGGAACATTGAAGATCAACAACTACCCGGAGAAAAAAATCCTGTTAAACGATCGAGGTCTAACACTTCCATGTCCGCTAAACCTCGTAAACGTCCTCAGTCTCGAGCTTCCACAACGAGTGTTCATAGCGGACTTGCGCAACCGGTACTGGAGCAGCAATATATGGATCCGGCGCAGTGGTATGACAATAACTCCAATCCACAACACAGCAATATTCCGCAATTGTCAGCCGAAGACATGGTTATGCATAGTGCTTCGCAGTTACAAAATCCCCGATCTTTTGACATGGAGCATTCTCTCAATGGCGTCTCGAATCACAATATACAATCGTATCATTCGGAGGTGCAATATAGGCCTGAAAATGGACGCCAATCTATACCAATGGATAACTACGCTCAGAATTATGGAGAGGGGGATAGCCAAGTTCTAGAAGGTCGCAGTGATGAGCAAGACGAGGTGGATTCCATAGTCGGGGCAACTGGAGCGACAAAGAAAACCTCGAGATCAAGCGCTGCCAATGAGTTAGAAATGAGACAATTATTCCACGCGAACAAACACCGCTCCTTACAAGACATCGCCGCGGAACTTCTCTTGAATGAAAGAGGGCCACAATCGGAAAGACAGAGACAAGTATTTGCTATGCTCTGGTAGGTGCATCATAATATGGAGTTTTGAATCATGTTAACAAAGCCCTTTTAGGATCAACAAAGTCTGTGATAAAGGTACGGGGTCTGTACCAAGAGGTCGTGTTTACGCAAATTACGTTTCCAGATGCGGTACAGAAAAGGTAACAGTATTGAATCCGGCATCTTTTGGAAAACTTGTCCGTGTACTTTTTCCCGGATTGAAGACTCGGCGGCTTGGTGTGCGCGGAGAATCTAAATACCACTACGTGAATTTCAGTCTCAGGGATGACCAGCCACAACTGCACGAGACACAAACTCATCAACCTATTACAAACTTTAACGATGCGAATTTTGCTCAAAGTTTCAAGTATATCAATCTCTACCCTCTGTATTCACTCATCGCTAATTAGTCAGTCAAAGTATGACATCGCAAATTCAATACCCGGACGTCAAATACCCAATTGATCGAGCTCCATTTCCGTCTCCCGCAATTGCTCAAGAACCTGAACAACGCAAACAACGATCGGGAGGATTCATTAGACCTCATAGTCTCTATACCCACCCAGTAGTTGCGAAGCTTGCAGATCTCGAATGCACAACAAAGACACCTCAGGTTCTTCATTTTGCACCCTTAGGTGAACCTTCTATGCAAGAATATGGAGCTATTTTACTTCCTAAGATCCAACCCTTTTTGCCCATGGGTACCGATTCAGATTCAGCACTTGCATTATCTGCGCTTTATCGTTCTCACTGCACTTCCCTCGTTGAACAAGTTCGTTTCTGCAAAGAAAAGACATTCTTCCATCTTTTTACGGCTTTTCAAGGCACTTTGACCATGCCCGTACAAAAGTTGTTTGCCGACAAAGCACTCGCACCGTGGATTAACCAGTGCGATATAATTATGTACCAGAGTATGATGCGTGTCGTGGCGCCTTTAACACTGCAGGTTGTGCCTAAAGTCGTTTTGGATACTTTACGCAATATTTCCGATCGTCTAGTTACACACATTCAAAACTCATTCCACGGTCAGCCAGCACATGTTATCGAGGCGAAAGTCGGGCCAGCTACAACTTTTGCAAGCCTTTTGGACAAAGAATTAAGAGTGAATCTAACTGCTCATGCTGCAGCGAATATGCTATCTAATCCTTACAATCGTGATACAATGTATGAGGACTTTATAACCATGGTAAACATAAGAAAGGTCGCGGAAAGTGTGCCCACGAGAGGAATGGATGATGTGGTCAATCTTTTGATAACGGAATTGCGTGATCTTCTTGATCCAAGCGAGGTATCGTGGGAGACGGAAGGACAAACTCCTTTTGGAGAAATGGTTGCGCGTATGGGCCGTCAACGACAAGCGAGCGTTCATGCCGACCCGACCACAGAAAATGTTCTCGATCGTTGGGTGAATATGCTTCTCTCCCTACCTGGCAAGTTTCCGTATGCTACACATGCAGAAATTGTTTGGTGTGTCCAAAAGATTGGCACGGCTGTGATGAGAGATCTTACCATTGCCCAAGGTAAAAGTTTTGGTGCTTGGTGGGTTACTAAATGTTGGCTAGACGAAATGATTGCATTCATGGCCGAACAAGGAGGATTTATGCAGCGTGAAACTATTCAAGGTGCGATGGGAAACGTGCCTAGAAATCCCGCTGCGAGTCGGAGAAATAGTCAGCAAGATGGCCGATATAGTGCTGGAAGTGATGAATTTGCTGGACGGGGAGTGAATGGTGAGCGAAGTGTCTCAGGTCCTCGACCGATGGACCTTGCAAGAGAGGCTGCTATGAATGCAGCTGCTGGTCATGATGACAGTGGGATCGGAATGAGGACACCCGACGATGAATTTTCTATGGGAAAATATGGATTCGGACAAGATGATGGGCACGCTTCGATGGAATCTAATTCTCTTCATGCTATATCACAGGGAGCTATGTCTTGAGTTTGAATAACACCCCAAATCTTGAGAATTGGGGTCAAATTTGCGGCGCAATGGATGGTCAAAGGGTTGGGGTTGGATAATGTGACAGGAAAGGATGATTTTTTTTAACGACCAACGATTAAACGAATGGCTGTAGAATGGATGGATACCTGGTGTATATTTGGGATGGTCTTGATTATCTTACTCTGGCGATTTGAGTATTTTTCACTCTTTGGATTGTTGACGGTTTTGGCTCCAAAAATATTTGGAGTACTGGTTTTGATGGCGTTTCCGTGCAAAGACAAGGGTTATCCTTTTGTAATTATCAATAACGGGGAATAATGGCGAGAAGGAAGGAAGGTATGAAAACTGGTTTCTATATACGGTCTAATATTACTTGGTTTGAAGAAAGCCGTTGTAATAATGAATGTCCTTTTGGTCACTATATTGAGCATTGAAGCACAACAATGTTGAAAGTTTGAAACTTTAGATCTTCATTGACTCGGCGCATCTAAACAATGAAACAATTCCTCATTCTTATTCAAACAATGAAAGATTGAGTTCTAACAAACGGTACTTGGTTGGTTTTTTGTTGTGTTAATGAATGAAACATACCTAGGTACCCTCGAGTAGTACTCTTCGACTACTCGAGTATTCTCTTTATCAAGAAGGATAATATCACGCAATATCTACCTGAGTAGGATCTCTGCTTCAATAAAGACTCAAATGAATATCGTCTGATACCTAGATGTAAATATATATCTGAATTTTGAACCAACAGTAAGTACCTTTACCCCCCTTTTTCTATTTCTCCATCAAAATCTTATCGTATTAGCTCCGATCTATTTTCCCTATAAGCTCGCTAATGATAAAGACTTGGAACTGACCGTTGTACGTTGACGTGATTGAACTGTGTGGTCCCGCATTGACTTGCTCCGATATCATGCCGATGCAGGTTCGAAAATAATTGTTTCTACTAATGAATCAAACATATGTATGTGCCTGCTGGTATGACTCTTTTTCAACTTGTTCAATGTTTCCTAATATTTTCTACAATTTATCTTACATTTATCTTCAGACAGCATAGTCAATGGTTTCAATTTTATAACTAATTTATCTTGCAGTAATTTATTTCAATCATTCACAGAAAGTTTTGAACAATGACGACTGAAGTTCAGTGCAACGGGCATCCTGATGCTTCACCGTTAATATCCAATTCATTGAACCAAAATGACACCCACAGAAGCTGGGTAGTGCAAAAATTTGGTGGCACAAGTGTAGGCAAATTCGCTGTGAATATTGCGGAAGACATTGTTCGGTAGGTGGATTGTGGAACATTGCCAATCAGCGATTTGAAACTAATTGGGGTTCCAGAGCAAGCTTAAAACATCATAGAATCGCAGTTGTTTGTTCCGCGAGGAGTACTGGGAAGAAGGTCGAGGGCACAACGAGTCGGTGAGCATTATCAAAATCAAAATGGATCGCGCATGCGAAGACATACTAATTCTGGCCTTTGCAGATTATTGGAAATTCACGGTGTCCTTCAGTCTGTCAATTCTTTGAAAGACTCGGATTCAGAACATTACAAGAGCTTAGTTAGCAAATACGAAAGACTGGTGGACGTCATCCGTGACGATCACATTGCAGCAGCGAGGTCGCATATACAAGACGAGACTATAGCCTCGAGGCTCGCAAAGGACATTGAAACAGAGTGTAAGGAGATACAGGAATATCGATTGGCCGTTGAGCGATGGCATCTGGAAATTGATTCGAGATCAAAAGATCGCCTGGTCAGCTTTGGAGAAAAACTTAGCTGTAGATTTGTGGCAGCTTTATTACATGATAGGGTAGGCTACATTAAGCATTCCAATTACGCCGTGCTTACAATATATATTATAGGGAGTCGATGCCGAATACGTAGACCTCTCGGATGCTATTCATTTCAAGACCCCCAAGGGAATGAACTTGGAGTTTTACAGAGACGTGGCTGCGGCTATAAGAGAGAAACTCGACGCTTGCCAGAATAGAGTGCCAATTATCACTGGATATTTTGGAACCGTTCCGGGTGGTTTGATGGATGGAGAAATCGGAAGAGGATATACAGATCTTTGCGCGGCATTAGTGGCTGTGGGGGTTGCGGCAGAAGAATTGCAAGTATGGAAGGAAGTTGATGGTATATTTACTGCAGATCCCTCGAAAGTGCCAACCGCCCGACTTTTGTCCACTATAACACCATCCGAAGCGGCAGAGTTAACATTTTACGGGTCCGAGGTCATCCATCATCTCACTATGGACCAAGTGATTCGCGCGACCCCACCGATCAAGATTCGGATCAAGAACGTTAAAAATCCACAGGGAAATGGCACAATCATTCTTCCCGATCCTATACCAGAACCTTCGCAGCATACCCATGCGAGAAGCCCAAGTCCTGTAAGTCTGAAGAAAACGCCTAAGCGCCCTACTGCTGTTACTATCAAGGACAAGATCTCGGTTATCAATGTACATTCAAATAAGAGGTCGATTTCGCATGGATTCTTTGCCAAGGTATTTTCCATACTAGACAGTCGACAGATTTCTGTGGATCTTATTTCCACCAGTGAGGTTCATGTTTCCATGGCTGTTCATTCGGCGTACATCTCTGCAGAAGATATGCAGAGTACCAAAGCGGAGCTTCAAGAGTGCGGCGAAGTCAGCATCCTCAATGAAATGGCAATCCTCAGTCTGGTGGGATCGGAAATGAAAAATATGGTTGGAATTGCTGGCAAGATGTTTTCTACTCTTGGAGAAAATAACGTCAATATCGAAATGATATCTCAGGGTAAATTTAGAATCTCCGTCCCACATAACGATTCAGCAACTAACAAGTGACATTCAGGGGCGAGTGAGATCAACATATCTTGTGTCATAGACGCTTACGAAGCTACACGCGCGATGAACATATTGCATACAAATCTTTTCACATTTTTAGAATAGATCAAAACGGGAATTGGAAAAGGCAAGGGAGATGGCGTTCAAACTTTGATGGTATCGAGCATGGTGCATCGGCGGCATCAAAAATTGGGGGATGGTTTGATGCACGTATCCACAATGTGTATGTTTATATTTTCGCTGTAAAAAAAACTTAAAACCTATTCATACCGTACTGCACATATCCTATCAGAAGTTGGTTTGAACCTCGCTTCCCCGATGAGAACTTTTCCTACTCAGCCTAGAACTATCCTCCTTATTCTGCAAGACACTAAACGGGGTATCTAACAAGCTATACTGTAGCCTGAGACCTACAATAAGAGTATCCTGGGTGGCAGTGAGTACAGACAAGTGAGAACGATGTTGTGCTTTCTGACTAAAAAGCTCATGTGCCCTTTCCCGTGCATTCTAGTTCCGTTTCAAGTGAAGCACACTGCATGATATTGTGTCGAGATATGGAAATGCTTGCCAAGTCTAGCCCCTATTTTAGAAATGGAGTTTGTCGCTTCATCGGCGTCGTTCGGATCATGCATCTCGACCAAAGCATTATTAGGTGCAACCGCCATGCGACTGCGAAGTCTCTCTCTCGTACCGTAAGATAATCGCCTTCATGCACTACCCTTCAGACTATCAGAACCAATGTTAGACAATATGATATCACATGTGCGGGTACTTATACACCTATTTTCGGCTCTCCTCACTGCGTGATATTATCTTCCTTCCGCTGGATGTAGCTGTCCGTACCATGCTAAGTAATTAACAAACGCTATACCTGATTGACCACGAAGTGGGTTCTTCGAACTCTTTGGCCTAGTATTATCTAGTTCTGTCCCATCTCATATAGATAGATTACGCAATTCAACGTTGATGTATAACCAAGCTGACAATTGTCAACTATCAGAAGATCAAGATTATGAGCCTCATTTTAACACAACTTTTCACCGATCACAGTGTAAGACGCTGGTCTTTCTTCTTCGGAACATATCAGATGTAGCTCATTGTGGCTCGATGCATCTCCCTCATTCTGTCATTATTTCGTTTGACAGGAATGGATTCAGGGTATTCTTTCCTCATTCGATATTTCCCCACCTGTTCCTCTTCCAGAGTCAAGCTATTGTTGATCAAGAATTGCTTGTACACTTCGGATAATATCTGGTCCGATGTTCGATTTCAATTCCAGCATCGTTGATTGCACATACTTCTCCAAAAATCTGAACGCAAGAGCATTGACGACCATCCCTTATCTTTGTTTCAGTGAAGAAAACTTAGATGACATGACTTATACTTAGCTCTCATCACAATTGAAGAAACACACTCTTCTGCAAGCAAACCCCAGATAACGTGCTAATATGATTCACCATACAAACTCCAGATGCACACAGCATAAAATAACCCCCCATCTGCTGTGCAACATAGCACATACATGTATATCAGTGCACGCAAGAGTACAAATCGTATATCATGTCTAAGGGAAATCTGAAAAGGCTTGAAGTTAAATCGGTAGGCTGATTACCCTCTTTCTCTGCAAAGTGTTACCCTGAAAAGAGTATGTATCCGTCTGTCAATGTTGCATCCGCAGGGCTTTTCTGCTCCTCCAACTCCAACTTCAAGCCCAACTCCAACTTCAATGTCTGACCCCTTCGATTATCTGCTTGTTCAGAATTATTGAGTAGGTCAAATAACTTACATCTTCTAAACCTTGATTGGGTGTAACTCGTCGACAATTTTGTATTTGCCCGCTTTGCATTTCTTTGCAAACAATACAAAACGCTCGAAATTGACTCGAAAAAATGGAAACAAAATGACATTTACACTCCACAATCGTCCTCCCCAATTGAGCATTTGTTGACTAACCGAGGTTTATTGTGTAAGCAAATGATATCACGATTGCCAATTGGCGATACGCATAAATGTTAAGCTATTGGCTAAAAACAAGCTGAACAATTCAGCCGAGAAATAGCTGCAGCTTTCACTGATCACTGCGGCCGGTATTGTATCACAAAGAAGTCGTTGCCATGATGACAACGGGAGTCTGAAAATTGGTTTGAATGAGGAAATGTGTATCAATAATCCAAGAAAAGTAAGTGATGCAAGATTCCTCGCACAACAGCAGTAAGAAATGATTGTTTGGTTGTCTCAGAATTTGTATCTCTAACCCTCAACCCAGCTAGAACCAGATTTGAGTTTCTGAAATGCAGACTTGAGCAATCTAATAACATTCCCATGAATATTGGTTGAGTTGAATAACAACGAATGATAATTCTGGTCGTCATCAGATAGTCCTTAGATGATTGATATCGGAAACCTCAAAGTTGCCCTTTGACTGGCTCGGCACCGCGGTGGCTGATTTCATTTCCCGACATTCCTCGTAAAGTATCTAGTACATTTTCTGTGCCGTCCGGTGACTTTTCCTTCCAACGAAATTAAGTTTCTTTCAATATTCTGACCAGCTTCGCTACTTCGGCAATTAGGAGTATTTGAAGTATCATCACTTGTAACAAGAGAGAAATTCATGTTCCTAGTGGGCATTAGGCGAACTTATCTACGTCTGATCTTGGCGAATCCAGCAGCATTCTGTACAGAATACTTTTTAATGTAACAGATGATGTGGCCAACGCCGAGCTCCTCCTCTCGGTAGTGTATCCCGAATTTGACGGACTTGATTCCTAAGTGGAATTCTTATCCCGATATGAGAATAAATACATGGAGCGGGGTGCCACAGAGATACTGGGGGCGGAACGACAGAAGCTAAAAGGCTGCAGTCGTGCGGCCCATGATCATTGGACAACTTTGTTACAAAAGCCCTCGGAAGAATTAACCCTAGATAAGGTGCATTGGGTGGTGGGTGGCACGATTAATTAGGCCTTTGAAAAACGTTGAGCCACCATACGCACAATTGATCTGAAAGTTTGGATCCAGCTTGTTTGACGGATTTTGTCATGCTACACGCTACACACGGCTGCAGTGACTACCGGGCATATGCCATCCATATGTTCTGTTACTATTTCCGCCATCTACACCTTTGACTTCATCGTATTTTTATCTATTCTTCCTTCGTTCTTGGATCTCTAGGTCTCAACGTTTGATCCCGCGCTTTCAGTCGCAACCCGTTTTCCACAACCTCGCTCGATCACAATATGTATTCTAGACGTCCCTTGTATTAGATTCGTCACAGACCAACATCGTCATTCTCTTGAACCTTTATATCTTGCGTTTCATGTCTATAGCGGATGAATTTTGGAGCAATCGGATTTATTACTTGATAGGAATATTCCAAACAAATCAGAGAATCATATCAGTTCCTCTTTCGTTAGGTTTGCCAGTAAAGTCGGACAATAACTGGACAATCGTGCCTGGTTGATCAGCAATAAACACTTAGTTTTTACGATAAACTGGGTTCATGTATATAACATCGACCATATAGAAGATCTCTCATATCACACAGGGCAATCTCTCTAAAGAACTCGTTATTCATTGCATGATACACCATATATATTTCCATCATGGGTTGGGTACGCATCACCTAGAATCTCTGGAAATTATAATGCTTATTAGACTTTAGGTGGAGAAGACGAATATGACCGTGGCGAAGAGCGCCGTTGGAAGACGATTCAGACTGGAATTTTCCGGGCATAGGTACGAGAGAAAAGGCTCTAGATTTTTGACAGAAGTAAGAGCCGGTCTTGCCACATTCTTTGCTATGGCATACATCATCTCAGTAAACTCATCAATCGTATCAGGTAAGTTTTCTACCTATACCTTGATAACTTCCCTCACATCTTTCAAGCTACCGGAGGAACATGTGTATGCGACTACCCTTCTGGATCTACGGATCCCTTCTGCCTAGACAGTTCAACGGATCCCAGTTACCAGATATGTGTTCAGGAGATCAACCAGGATTTAGTCACAGGCACGGCAGCGATATCTGCATTGACGAGTTTTTGTATGGGTGTTTTTGCAAACATGCCGATAGCGCTGGCTCCCGGAATGGGTCTAAATGCATATTTTGCTTATCAAGTTGTTGGAATACATGGGCAAGGACCAGTCTCCTATAGACTGGCATTGACAGCTGTATTCATCGAAGGATTACTCTTTGTTGCGCTCTCGATACTCGGACTCAGACAATGGCTTGCGCGCGCAATACCTCGAAGCTTGAAGATAGCTAGTGGTGCAGGCATTGGTCTTTATCTCGCTCTCATCGGACTTACTTATAGTGCGGGAATCGGCGCTATCACAGGTAGTAATTCCGATGTACCTCTTCAAGTAACTGGCTGTATACCCGAACTCATTGCTCCAGACGGTACTTGCATATCTGGGAAAATGCGAAGTCCAACAATGTGGCTTGGCATTTTCGGTGGGGGAATGTTCACAGCGTTCCTCATGATGTACCGTGTCAAAGGTGCAATTATAGCTGGGATTCTCCTCGTCTCTATCGTTTCGTGGCCGCGCAATACTTCCGTTACTTATTTCCCTCCTACTGTCTCTGGCGATGCGGCATTCGAGTTCTTTAAGAAAATCGTCACCTTTCATCCTATTTCCCGAGTTCTAGCAGTACAAGATTGGAATATCACTGGAGCTGGAGCTGGACAATTCGCATCCGCACTCATCACTTTTCTTTACGTCGATATCCTTGATTGTACCGGCACCTTATATTCGATGGCTCGTTTCTGTGGAGCCATCGACGAAGACACGCAGGATTTCGAAGGTAGTGCTGTAGCCTATCTCGTCGACGCCTTTGGCATATCTCTTGGTTCTTTCGTGGGTTCGCCTCCTGTTACTGCATTTATCGAATCGGGCGCCGGTATATCAGAAGGAGGCGTTACAGGACTCACAGCCGTCACTACCGGGTTTTGCTTCTTCATCAGTCTGTTCTTCGCGCCAATATTCGCTAGTATACCTCCTTGGGCAACAGGCTGTACGTTAATACTCGTTGGAGCGATGATGGCACGCGCGTGCACGGAGATCAATTGGCGGTACCTAGGAGACTCCATTCCGGCTTTCTTGACGCTCGCAATTATGCCGTTTACGTATTCGATTGCTTACGGACTCATTGCTGGAATCGTTACGTATACGTTACTTAATACATCAGCATGGGTATTGGCGAAAATGTCAGGAGGAAGAATTATGCCACACGACTACGAGTTGAAAGATTACTGGACATATAAAGTTCGGGGTGGTTTATTGCCCGGTTGGGTACGCAGAGCCACACGGGGGAAAAGAGATTTCTGGCGCGAGTGGGATTTTGACGCGGATGTGGGGGATAAAGTTGAGAGCGTGAGGGGACATAAGACGAGAGGGAGTGTAGCGAAAAGTCACAAGAGCTCGAAGAGTCATGATGCGCATGGGAGACAAAAGGAAAATAGGAGGATGTCTAGTGTAAATATGAATGGGCATGGAGAGCGCACGTGGGAGATGCCTGAGATGGCATATCCGAAGAATGTTGCGGCGGGGATTGGAGAAGCGATTGGAGGAGAGGAGAGGAGGGAAAGTATGAGGACTATGAGTTCTGTTGGGAGAAGTCTGGGAAGGAGATCATGAGCGGGTGGTTAAGGGTTAATGATGATTGGTTGTTTTGGTTGGTAATGACCAGTACTGGACAATTTCTGGGCTGGATTTAATTCACAATGATTAAAGGGGTTTCGAGATACCACATGGAATATGGATATGGATATGGATGGATGGCGTAGATAGATTGGGTGATTATATTATGTATAGTCCTCAAGGACACAATCGAGAAAAGTCTAGGAAGCTTATGGATGGTTTAATGAATGAGTGGAGAGTGGTCGTTGCCATGCGACTTTCAAAGGATTCAAACATCTGCGAACAAATAGTATCAGTTCGCGAGGCGCAAGAATACCTCCAGACGATAATTTACACCTATCAAACATATAAATACCAAAAGAGACATACATACTTATGACAACCCTCCTCCTCGAACCCCATTTCCAACTCCTCGCACTCAAACCCATCTCTCGCACCCACTAAACCATCATCCTCACCACCCCCAAATTCACCCACCCAATCTCACCTCACCGCCTCACCTTCAATATAATCCCCAATCCTTCCCTCACCCTCATCCAAGAAACAAAATATGCCATGCTGGTTCAGTGGTAACGCGCTGAATATGCACATGCCCGTAAAACGGCACCTCTGCTTAACAAGACTATAAAGTGATTGTCTTCTTGAAGAATCAGTTCGCCTGGTTTAAATTAAGGGGTCTCGAGGATTCGTTGCATAGAGCGTCCTTAATTTTTTGTTAATTTTTTTGGTTTTTGGAGTGGAGGGGAGTTTTTGGGGGGGGGGGGAGGAAGGGAGATGTGGGCGCGTGAGGTTATATTCACTTTTGGTGGGTGGGATGGGTGGATGCGGGAGGATGAGATGGGATGAGGTGAATTGAGATGATATGTTTTTGTAGGAGGGAGTCTGGTATGGTGTAGCTGTGGGTGGTTGGGAGGAATATAGAGCAGTGTAGATTGGTAGATAGGGAAGGACCTTATTCACAGACAAGATATATATCAAGAAGTCAGTCCAAAGTGATGCACTCACTTTGCGCAAACTCAAGCGCATGTTTCTATTCCTTGTATACAACAATTTAGATTAGCAAGGCTCAGAAGCCTTCTTTAGTAGTACAGATAGAATGCATATTTTAATAAATCAAATGTTCCAACTGCGTTGCAGATCCAAGTGTCCTCGATGGGTTGCACGCTGCGAAGTACTTCACCGTTGAATTTCAGTCTGACTACAAAAAGCATTTTGTTCTACCCATATCATTCCACGCCTCACTCTTACAATATGCGTGTAGAAGTCAAAGTTCTTTGCAAAAACCATGTCGAACCCTCCAAAACAGTCTTCCAAACAACATCTAGGATGAATTCTACGGAACTAGGATGAAGTCTACAGAACGAGGATGAAGTCTACAGAACGATGAAGCATCATATATTGAAATTTGAAGTCCATGAATTCAAGCATCTTAGCAGAACACCAGGCAATAGAGCCAATGAAGAGTGCACTAGAGTTTTGAGATGGACCTCAGAGGCTCAAGAATTCTTATAGTGTCATGGGAAAACTAGTAAACAAAGTGAAGAGTAGACATCGATCGAAAAAAGCACTGTGACTCTACGAGGTTCAACGCCTCCAAGACGTTGATAAATCAACATACTGTCAATCGATCACAACCTACTATAGCTAGATCCCAGGCCTATGTGGTGACAAGACTTGAAGATCTAGACGCCATTTCACATTTCGCCTGATTACGAGGTAATTAAGGGGCGTCAGTGTGGATCTGATGAGTATCGGACCCAACTTCACACATTGTATAGTACAATCAAGCACCTCCAACTTCAGAGTTTCTTCGTGCGTCTAATGTAGGAATTAGCATTATTTTTAAATAGCACGGCATCGGTTTCACTGTATTTTAAAACTGTTGGAGCAAATTTAATAAAAGGATGATGTTCATAAATTAAACGGAAAGTGTCGCTTGTATTAGAGAAAAAGACCAAAAACTCCTACCGATATGCACTTCCTTCATATCATGACCAGCTGTGCAACCTCCCAATTGTGCATATACCGAAGCATGGATGCGACCCTTTACCCATTCCCATACCGGATTTAACCTAATGCCCTCGCCATTACTGTCATAACATTCATTTCATTCATAAAAGTTCATCCATCCCCTCCGCTCCGTTGTATTTCCCACTTACCCAATACAAGATTGGCCCGAGTGCAAGTAATTCCAAAAAGCCAGCAAAGTAACAAAAGCTAAATAAAGGAAGGTATCAATAACAGAGCGTTTTCGTAAGAGTGGTATTCGCCATTCGATATTCCGTATAAAGATTCGCCCGGGCCGGCTAGTCGATTCCCCTCGCCTCTACCATCTGGATCAACGCTGTCAGTAGAGCCAGTAGAAGATTTTCGGCCTAGAGCTTTTGCCTCTTCGAGCTCCATCTCATGAAGCTTTTTCTTCTTCTCAATTTCTGGGTTTAGCTGAGGGCTATCGTCGTTGCCAAGTAACAAGTGTCCAGGCACTGCCTCAAATTCTCCTTCATCATCATCCCCTTCTCCCTCACTAGAATCATCCCCGCTCATGATGGGACTATCAAGCTGTGCAGACCTAGGACTCTTAACAAGCATCTCCGGACTCTGAGGTCGAGAATCAAACCCACTGGTGCAGCTTGTCGCTTCGCTCTTACCGGAATCTATCTTTTTGAGAGGTCGGCTGCCTTCAAGGGTAAATGGTGTCAATGTCGGATCAAATTCCGCTGGTAAGCCAAGAGCAGCTGCCACCGCGTGCGCTTCAATAAGGGGGCCAGTTGCGCTCTCGAGATTGCTTGCAACGATGGAGGTTTCATGTCCGCTAACCCCACTCTCTTGTAGAATGCGAGTGTAACTTTGACGTGTAGGATCTGCATCTCGTTTTTGCTTCTTCTTTAACCTTTTATCCGTGGGTCTTACGACAACGACTGGTATAGGCGAATACTGCAAGCACCATTTGGAGAAGGAGTTTCTGTTGCCCATCAACCCTTGGAACCCCCCAAGACTTCGCCCTCGAGTTCCAACGATGAGCATTGCAGGTTCGTAAATTTGGATCTGGACAACCAAGTGGTTAGTAAGTGGCGTTGGTCTCTGCGAGCATCAAACAATCTAAACATACCATCTTTTGAAAAGTTGTATGGACTTTCCCTATGGCATACTCCAGTACGATACTGACAGCTTTATTATCATCGTTCTTCTTTTGTATCGCATCTAACAGTTCTCTTGCATCCTGCTGATATTGCTTGATCTCTAGGGCTCTGTCAGTGATCAACTTCGAATCTTTATCAACAACCCTTAAACAGATAATTTGGTCTCCATCGTCGACGAGCTCCTCTAGCATCCATTGTAAAGCGATATCCGAATAGGAATTCTCATCTATGCCGACCATGAAAGTCCTCGAGGATCGTTTGTATTGATATCCTTCATGTTTAGAGTTTTGAGTGTAGCTTCTGGTATTCCTCTCTGTGTCTTCTGACAACGATCCAATGCTATCGAATGAGACTTTTCCTTTAAACTTTCTGTTGTTGGGAGCCATTAGTGTCAGATTCATGTATCGCAAAGAAATATTGGGTAGTAATGTAATAAAGATCCAGATCAATCATAGAGAGCTTTCCTGCGCGATATAGAATCCAAGTGGGGTTGATCACCCGCCCCCAGATTTCGGCCGCTAGGATCCGGGAAGGAAAGCGTGGGACATTATAAGGGATACTTTTATTTGATGGTACGGCCTATTCCCACCTTACCTTGGAGCAAAACATCGTCGCACAAAGAATAAGGAAATGGGACACAACTTACGGTGGAGGAGGTGGACTCGAGCCCCTCAGACGAGGACGAGTCAGCGTCTTCTTTCCTTTACCACCCTTCCCGTCTTTCAAGGGCCGCGGACCTCTCGAACCCCCTCGGAAGGATATGCTCGACGTCGAGTTTAGCCGTTGGGTAGGCGGATGATCATATTGGACATGTTCTGTGATAGATCTAAGCTTCGGAGAAGAAAAATAATCTGAATTTGTTGGCGCAGAAATATTTGGTGAAAGGGGAGATTTTGGGGATGGCGAATCAGAACTTCTAACGTGCGGGGAAGTGGGTGCCGACATGGTAAGTTATTGTTCAATTATAAATTAGACATTTGGTCTATTGCAAGCGACTTTATAGTAATTGTTGAATGCTTGTGTCGAATGAGGTGAGCATAAGAACTTTGAGATTGTTGGTTTGAGATTTGTCAAAGTGGATGGATGAAGTGGTCCGTTCTAGGCTTCAGGCGAGAAACAGCGGTGTCGTACTAGGATTATTTAGATATTTATTATTCATGCCCAGATACTGAAGTTGAAAGATTCTGGTTAATCAAGTAAAGTATGGGTGATTCAACAATCAGGTATGCATTTTGTTACGTTATTAGTAGTCTTTATGAGACATGCTGAATGCCAAGATAGTCGCGCCTCCCCTTTCAGCCTTGTGAGTTGCTTACGACAGGTACAGCTGTAAGAGGAAAATCATGGATACTCTTTCACTCTGGAATGGCACAGCAACGTATACATATACATGGGGTTTACTTCATAATTTGTTTTGATCTACTCGTAAGGCTCCTCGCCTTCGTCCATTTTTGACAAGCCATTTCGTGGATTTGTCTTTTCCACCCCCCCAGTACGCCATACCAATGCCATAGAGTTGAAAGCAATATTGTCAAGAGAGAAGCATGAAAGGTATTTTAGTATGTGCGAGCAAGGTTTCTGAGATACCAGTCCACCAACTTGCGGCCGACCTTGGCTTCAGAAATATGAATAAGATCCTGTAAAATTTATTAGCCATCTGGTATTTTGCATTGGTTTTTTCCTCTAATGGACTTACTCCTTGCATAGCATAATCGAGATCGTTAGAGTTGACTACTTCTCCGTCCAACAATCCATTATCAGTCCATCTAATTTGTCTGCTGCGTTGCTTGTTGACCAATAACCATCCCCTCAACTTCTCAGGTTCAACCTCCAAAAATCCAGCTAACTTCTTTACAT